TCCCAACTATACCTATAAAATGATCGGGTCTAAATTAGCTGTTACCACTCATGAAAGATCTTGACATCATTGTGGATAGTTCTCGGGAAAACATCCACTCAATGTGCAGCGGCAGTCAAAAACAAGCAAAACAGAATGTTGGGAATCATTAAGAAGGATAGATAATAAGACAGAAAATACATTGCCTCTATATAAATCCATGGTATGCCCACACCTTGAATACTGCATGAAGATGTGGTTGCCCCATCTCAAAAAAGATATATTGGACTTGGAAAAGGTTCAAAAAAAGGGCAACAAAAATTATTAGGGGTACGCAGTGGCTGCCATATGAGGAGAGATTAATAAAACTGGCACTTTTCAGCTTGGAAAAAGAAGAAAGACATGGGGACATGATTGAGGTCTATAAAATCATGACTGGTATGGAGATGGTACGGTATGTCTTCTTGTGTATCCCTTCCCTAACTGTTTCCAATATTGTTCACTTTTTTGGCTGCCACTGCACATTAAGCAGATGTTTTCAGAGAACTATTCATAATGACTCCAAGATCTTGTTCTTCAGTGGTAACAGCTAAATTAGACCTCTTCGTTTTGTATGTATAGTTAGGATTGTTTTCCCAGGTGCATTAATCAACACTAAATTTCATCTGCCATTGTGTTGCCCTAGTAACCCAGTTTTGAGAGATCCCTTTGCAACTCTTCCCAGTCAGCTTTGGTCTTAACTATCTTGAGTAATTTAGTATCGTCTGCAAACTTTGCCACCTCACTGTTTACCCCTTTTTCCAGATCATTAATTTACATAACTCATACTGAAATGATACCATTTTTATTCCATTCCTTATATCAAACTAATATTTTATTTACTTTTTTGACGGTCACCACACCATTGTGCGGAATTTTCTGCACAGAGTTGTCTCTAATAATATGGGTCTCCTCCTCCCGCGCCTGAGTTATTTGGAACCCAGCACTGTTTATAACTAGATACCTTTATAAAGTTTTAGTTTAATTAGTTTGGACAGAAGAGAAATAAGTGATAGGATACAAGCACACAAGATAATAGATGACCTAGAGAAGGAAGATTGGCCACTTTTATTCACCCTTGTCATACAAGGAAAAGAGGACATTCAGTAAAATTGAAGGGCAATCATTTGAAAATGTTAAAAATAATATTTTTTCTTTCCAAAGTTACCCTATGGCACTCACTGCCACAAGACAGCCTTTATATGGGTGACAGGTTTCAGAGTAACAGCCATGTTAGTCTGTATTCGCAAAAAGAAAAAGGAGTACTTGTGGCACCTTAGAGACTAACCAATTTATTTGAGCATAAGCTTTTGTGAGCTACAGCTCACTTCATCGGATGCATACTGTGGAAACTGCAGAAGACACTATATACACAGAGACCATGAAACAATACCTCCTCCCACCCCACTCTCCTGCTGGTAATAGCTTATCTAAAGTGATCACTCTCCTTACAATGTGTATGATAATCAAGGTGGGCCATTTCCAGCATAAATCCAAGTTTAACCAGAACGTCTGGGGGGGGGAGGGTAGGAAAAAACAAGGGGAAATAGGCTACCTTGCATAATGACTTAGCCACTCCCAATCTCTATTTAAGCCTAAATTAATAGTATCCAATTTGCAAATGAATTCCAATTCAGCACTTTCTCGCTGGAGTCTGGATTTAAAAAGTTTTTTTGTTGTAAGATAGTGACCTTCATGTCTGTAATTGCGTGACCAGAGAGATTGAAGTGTTCTCCGACTGGTTTATGAATGTTATAATTCTTGACATCTGATTTGTATCCATTTATTCTTTTGCGTAGAGACTGTCCAGTTTGACCAACATACATGGCAGAGGGGCATTGCTGGCACATGATGGCATATATCACACTGGTGGATGTGCAGGTGAACGAGCCTCTGATAGTGTGGCTGATGTTATTAGGCCCTGTGATGGTGTCCCCTGAATAGATATGTGGGCACAGTTGGCAACGGGCTTTGTTGCAAGGATAGGTTCCTGGGTTAGTGGTTCTGTTGTGTGGTATGTGGTTGCTGGTGAGTATTTGCTTCAGGTTGGGGGGCTGTCTGTAGGCAAGGACTGGCCTGTCTCCCAGGATTTGTGAGAGTGTTGGGTCATCCTTCAGGATAGGTTGTAGATCTTTAATAATGCGTTGGAGGGGTTTTAGTTGGGGGCTGAAGGTGACGGCTAGTGGCGTTCTGTTATTTTCTTTATTAGGCCTGTCCTGTAGTAGGTGACTTCTGGGAAGTCTTCTGGCTCTATCAATCTGTTTCTTCACTTCCGCAGGTGGGTATTGTAGTTGTAAGAAAGCTTGATAGAGAGCTCGTAGGTGTTTGTCTCTGTCTGAGGGGTTGGAGCAAATGCGGTTGTATCGCAGAGCTTGGCTGTAGACGATGGATCGTATGGTGTGGTCAGGGTGAAAGCTGGAAGCATGTAGGTAGGAATAGCGGTCAGTAGGTTTCCAGTATAGGGTGGTGTTTATGTGACCATTGTTTATTAGCACTGTAGTGTCCAGGAAGTGGATCTCTTGTGTGGACTGGACCAGGCTGAGGTTGATGGTGGGATGGAAATTTTTGAAATCATAGTGGAATTCCTCAAGGGCTTCTTTTCCATGGGTCCAGATGATGAAGATGTCATCAATATAGCGCAAGTAGAGTAGGGGCGTTAGGGGACGAGAGTTGAGGAAGCGTTGTTCTAAAATCAGCCATAAAAATGTTGGCAGACTGTGGGGCCATGCGGGTACCCATAGCAGTCCCGCTGATTTGAAGGTATACATTGTCCCCAAATGTAAAATAGTTATGGGTAAGGACAAAGTCACAAAGTTCAGCCACCAGGTTTGCCATGACATTATCGGGGATAGTGTTCTTGACGGCTTGTAGTCCATCTTTGTGTGGAATGTTGGTGTAGAGGGCTTCTACATCCATAGTGGCCAGGATGGTGTTATCAGGAAGATCACCGATGGATTGTAGTTTCCTCAGGAAGTCAGTGGTGTCTCGAAGGTAGCTGGGAGTGCTGGTAGCGTAGGGCCTGAGGAGGGAGTCTACATAGCCAGACAATCCTGCTGTCAGGGTACCAATGCCTGAGATGATGGGGCGCCCAGGATTTCCAGGTTTATGGATCTTGGGTAGTAGATAGAATATCCCAGGTTGGGGTTCCAGTGGTGTGTCTGTGCGGATTTGATCTTGTGCTTTTTCAGGAAGTTTCTTGAGCAAATGCTGTAGTTGCTTTTGGTAACTCTCAGTGGGATCATAGGGTAATGGCTTGTAGAAAGTGGTGTTGGAGAGCTGCCGAGCAGCCTCTTGTTCATATTCTGACCTATTCATGACGACAACAGCACCTCCTTTGTCAGCCTTTTTGATTATGATGTCAGAGTTGTTTCTGAGGCTGGGGATGGCATTGTGTTCTGCACGGCTGAGGTTATGGGGCAAGTGATGCTGCTTTTCCACAATTTCAGCCCGTGCACGTCGGCGGAATCACTCTATGTAGAAGTCCAGTCTGCTGTTTCGACCTTCAGGAGGAATCCACCTAGAATCCTTCTTTTTGTAATGTTGGTAGGGAGGCCTCTGTGGATTAGTATGTTGTTCAGAGGTATTTTGGAAATATTCCTTGAGTCGGAGACGTCGAAAATAGGATTCAAAGTCACCACAGAACTGTATCATGTTCGTGGGGGTGGAGAGGCAGGAGGAGAGGCCCCGAGATAGGACAGCTGCTTCTGCTTCCCAGAAGTCACCTACTACAGGACAGGACTAATAAAGAAAATAACAGAACACCTTCAGCCCCCAACTAAAACCCCTCCAATGCATTATTAAGGATCTACAACCTATCCTGAAGGATGACCCAACACTCTCACAAATCTTGGGAGACAGGCCAGTCCTTGCCTACAGACAGCCCCCCAACCTGAAGCAAATACTCACCAGCAACCACATACCACACAACAGAACCACTAACCCAGGAACCTATCCTTGCAACAAAGCCCGTTGCCAACTGTGCCCACATATCTATTCAGGGGACACCATCACAGGGCCTAATAACATCAGCCACACTATCAGAGGCTCGTTCACCTGCACATCCACCAGTGTGATATATGCCATCATGTGCCAGCAATGCCCCTCTGCCATGTATGTTGGTCAAACTGGACAGTCTCTACGCAAAAGAATAAATGGATACAAATCAGATGTCAAGAATTATAACATTCATAAACCAGTCGGAGAACACTTCAATCTCTCTGGTCACGCAATTACAGACATGAAGGTCACTATCTTACAACAAAAAAACTTTTTAAATCCAGACTCCAGCGAGAAAGTGCTGAATTGGAATTCATTTGCAAATTGGATACTATTAATTTAGGCTTAAATAGAGACTGGGAGTGGCTAAGTCATTATGCAAGGTAACCTATTTCCCCTTGTTTTTTCCTACCCCCCCCCCCCCCAGACGTTCTGGTTAAACTTGGATTTATGCTGGAAATGGCCCACCTTGATTATCATACACATTGTAAGGAGAGTAGTCGCTTTGGATAAGCTATTACCACCAGGAGAGTGGGGTGGGAGGAGGTATTGTTTCTTGGTCTCCGTGTACATAATGTCTTCTGCAGTTTCCACAGTATGCATCCGATGAAGTGAGCTGTAGCTCACGAAAGCTTATGCTCAAATAAATTGGTTAGTCTCTAAGGTGCCACAAGTACTCCTTTTCTTTTTATATGGATGACAGCTTCCAGAGTTACAGTAGATGAAATGTTTTTAAAGGGATATAAAGCCTCATGTTTCAGGACATAAATCAACCACCGAATGATGGAGATTAGGAGTAACACTTCCATCGTGGATTGGTTACTCCATAATATTCATTATGGGGGTTTCCCCCACCCTGCCTAGCTTTCTTCTAAAGCATCTGGTACTGGCCTACCACCAGAGCCCCCAGTCCTCTGCTCTAGTCTACCAATTCTGCTCTCATGTGCCGAGTACTACACCTTTCATAATGCATGTTCTAGCCATACCTCAACATCACAATTCCAGAGATTCCTTCCTCAGTACAGGAGTTTCCAGCTACACTGGCACCTAGAACAGGGGTGGGCAAACTGTGCTCTGCGGGCCGGACGCGGCCAAGGGAACTGCCCCCGCCACGGGCTCCGCGCCGCCCCGAGAACCGGCCGCACCGCGTCCCTGCAGCCCCTGGGGGGGCGGGGGCAGAGAGCGCCACACGCCGCTCTTGCCTGCGGGTACCGCCCCCAAAGCTCCCATTGGCCAGGAATGGGGTACCGCGGCCAATGGGCGCTTCGGGGGAGGTACCCACCGGCAGGGGAAACGCGCGGAGCCCTCTGCACCCCCCACGCCCAGGGGCCGCGGTGTGGCCGTTTTCCGGAGCGGGGCCAGCGGGGAGCCTGCCCCGGCCCCGGCGCACGCCGCTGCCACCCCGGAGCCGCTCTAGGTAAGCGGCGCCGGGCTGGAGCCTGCGCCCCACCCCACAACTCCCTGCCCTGAGGCCCCCTGCCTGCACCCCAACTCCCTGCTCTGAGCCCCCGCTGCACCCCACACCCCAACTCCCCACCCTGAGCCCCCTGCTGCATCCCAAGCCCCTGCCCTGAGCCCCCTGCTGCACCCCTCCTGCACCTCAGACCCCTCACATGAGCCCCCTCCTGCACTCCACACCCCAACCCCCTACAAGCAATTCCTCCACCCAGATGTGGCCCTCCGGCCAAAAAATTTGCTCACCCCTGATCTAGAACATTAAAGAGACCACAATGAAAGAATTTTCTTCAAAAAAAACTTTCCCTTGCATAATAGTATGGGGAGGAAATTTTCCTGTAAACCATTCTCTAGCTTGTGTGTTTTCCCTGGGCTTGTTTGTTTTCTTCCCTGACAGCTTATTTATTTTCCCACTTGTGTTTCCGCTAATTTATTTTCCCACTTGTGTTTCCGCTATCGCTCATTGGTGAAAGCAAAAACCAGTCATTTCCCTCATCATTTTACTCTGCAACATCTATAGAACCCGTTTTCCTTTCTAATCATAATTGGTGCATGCAAACAGCAACTAAGAAAGAAAAAAGAGGACGGCATGTCTGTGTGTTGTGCATGAAAGTCAGTATGATGTCACTAACATTCTGAAGCTATGTACTGGAAGTAAACTTGCATGGATTATGACTTTTCAGGGGAGCAGGAAGAGGAGGAGAAGACATATGAGGAATCAGTCATTTGCTGTGTCAAAATAAAGGAGAATTTAGTTACAGCAGAAGTTAGAATGTTGTTTTCCTTTGGTTTACCAGAGAAGCAATAATTCATAAATTTAAGGCCAGAAGGACCATGAGGATTTAGTTTGACCTTCTGCAGCACAAAGGCCATAGAATTTTCCCCATATCAGCTCCATAACTTCTGGTTGAGGTAGAACATATAAAGAAAAAAAAAGTATTCATGCCTAGTTTAAAAAATTAGATAGCATTGAGAAAGCAGGGAGGATTGGAGAATAAAATGGATGCAGCTACTATTAGGTGCAAAATTTAAGAGGGTAATCAAGGTAATTCATAGTTGTCCTACAATGCTCGTACCTCCACTATGTGAAGACTGGAGAGATAATCTCGTATTTAGAATACAACAGTGGGAGTTTTGGCACAGCTTTCCTGAATGGCCTTGGGCAAGTCACTCCACATCAGATATTCCCTGTGCCTCACCAGGTAAAACAGGGATTATTAAGTAGCTACTTCACGGGGTTAGTGTGGGGCTTAGTTAAGATGTGTAAATTGATTTAAGAACCTCAGAAGACCTGAATTGGCATAGCTCCATTGACAGCAGCTGAATATAATGTCTTATATATATATGGACATCTATCACATTGTGGTTACTAGCAGAATAGAAATAATGACAAATTGCTTTCTCTCTCTGTTCATGCAGCATAATGTCCTGTGCAGGAATTGTTGCATCAGCCATATTTTGTGTGGCTAGAGCAGTGGTTCCCAAACTTGTTCTGCTGCTTGGGCGGGGAAAACTCCTGGCACCAGTTTGTTTACCTGCCGCGTTCAGAGGTTCGGCTGATCGCAGCTCCTAGTGGCCGCGGTTTGCTGCTCCAGGCCAATGGGAGCTACTGGAAGCTGTGTGGGCAGAGGGACGTCCCGGCCGCCACTTCCAGCAGCTCCCACTGGCCTGGAGCAGCGAACCACAGCCACTGGGAGCCCCGATCGGCTGAACTTGCGGATGTAGCAGGTAACCAAACTAGTACGGCCTGCCAGGGGCTTTCCCTGCACAAGTGGCAGAACAAGTTTAGGAACCACTGGGCTAGAGCATGGTTTTCCCATCAGTTATTTATATGCATTTTTATAGGCTCAGCCTCCAGATTTCTATAGTAACTGGGACTTGGGAGATTCCATCTGTGGCCCAGTAGATAACATGGTTGTTCGAGGAAACATTAGCTTAAAAAAATGGGTCTTGCAGGATACACTGAAATCAGGTTCAACCTGAGTTTCTGGACGAGTGAATTCCTGGGTCCTAGGCCCTTCTGTTGACTGTCAAAAGCTCAGATTTCAAGTGAAGTGCCCCTGTTGAATACAGCAAACATGATGGGGAGCAGATAGTGACTGTTTCCAGCACTGAGATAAAAGGGGCTCTAATCCATTTCAGGCTCTAAAGTGCAGGACAAGAACCTTGAAACAGATCTGGAATTTGTTTGCTAACTACCACTGATGGCAGAGCACCGCTGGTGATGTGTTCATGTTATTCATCCCTGGGTAAGGGATAGGGTGCTCCATGCTGCACCAGCTGGGACGCCCATGAACTATTGTGGCTCAAACAGGTACTTTGCATTCGTGTTTATTCTGGAGGCGATAAATGCATAAATCACTGTCACTAGGTCTGCATTGGAGAGGAATGGTGTGGACATTTGACTAGTGGAAGGTGACAAAAACCTAGCTGCCCATTGCTGCTAGTTGGGTATCCTGGAGTAGTGAAGAATCAGAGGGCTGGAGACTATGTACTACCCTGACCACTGAAGAAGGGCACAGATCTTCCATGAAGGCATAAAATCCTTTATATAAACCTGCCTTTTCAGGTCTCAAACTAGTTCCCACTTCTGATCAACATCACTTCCATCTTCACTATGTTTAGTTTAGAGACCGGTCTTCATCCAGGTCTACACTTCATCCTAACACTGAATCGCTAGGGAGAGTCCGTGACTCCATTTGCGGAGAAGGAATGAGAGGTGGCAGGTTAATGAGTGCAGCTGGGCCATAGCAGAACCACCCAAATTGCCTTAGCCAATCAGGTGGCTTGTTTATAACCCAGTATCTGCAGAGGGAATGGCTGCTCAACACCCACACCATGGACTCTGGTTCTGACCCCTGCTCTGACCACTAGGCTTGACTGCCTATAATCCAGTCTCCTGCCCGAGGCCAAGAGCTGGGTATCTGTATATCAACCTCCCGTTGTGGCCTCAGAGATGCTAAACAGAACAAATAGGTCAGTGCAGAACTCCACAGCTGAGTGACCTCAGGAAAGTGGCAATGGGTAACCATTCCTAGTCTATCTAGGATGTCTCTAAAAGGAACACAGGGCATCAGCACAAAGTGACTCTGCTTATACCTGCCAGGTCTTATAGGTGGGAAAGCAATACCGCAGTGTGGATGTTCATGAGATCGTGCCATCTCCATGTCACGCCATGCCTGCCTAAAAATTGACAGGAATGAATTCAATTATATGAATCCCAACACTTCCAGTTAGATAATAATACCAAAATATTTTGGATGATTGAACTGGAAAAAATGGCACAAATATGTGCTTTATCGTATAGATTGTAAGTTACCATAGCATACCAAGGCACATAAATAAGGCCATACAAGTGCCCAAAAACTCCAGCCCATGTTTCTTTATATTTTATGGGGGGTTAAATTCTAAGTGACAACTAAATAACTCCTTCAGTTTTGTATTTTAAGAAGTTTCCCTTGGAAGTTTACACTGGGCTTAGGATCACAAGGAATTAAGATTTTCTAAAAAGCACTGCCAATTGTTTTATAGATAATGTCTGTATTACCAGAAACTAAGATTCAATTTAGTAATTTGGACCAATAATCATAGTACTTGTATCATGTGAACTGATACTAGAGCAGGAAACTCAAAAGACGAAGCAGAAATCTGAAGGAATCTCTGTTGATGCAAAGTGAAATAAAGAGGATTACAAGTTACAACACTCTGCCTCTGAGGACATAATAGGACTCTCCCGGAACACTCATTCTACTTATCTAGAATCTTGACCTTCTTCTGCACCTTTTGATCAGCATGCCGGGGACTGCCGGAGACTTATCTGTTACAGCAGGAATTTTCCCTGTGCCTCATGCACCCATTTTACTGGCCACTTGCACACTGGATTATGGGACTAACACTTCAACACTCAAGTGGAAACCTGAGAGCAGTTCATGGTCTCCATCACAGGCGAGGTGTAACAGAGTCAAGTGGGAGGTCAAGCAGAACTAACTGGGTGAGGTGCAGCAGACTTCCTGACTCTTGCCAGCTTAATGGAAGGTGATTGCTGTCAGTTGAAAAAGGAAACATCCTCAGGCTATTTAAAAAAAATGCAGAATGATTGTTTAATATAATCAGTCCTAATCTCCACAAGGATCTTCAAGAACAGAAAATACAGTTTACTCAATATATTTTCTGTATATGCCTCAGGTTAGCACAGTGCTTAGCTAGAGCTAGCAGGCCAAAATTCTCTGTAGCTCCGAGCATGCAATGCTCCATCTTGATCCAAATCTCAAGACAGATGTTGTAGACTGGATAGTCTGTAGCCCTAATCCACAGAGGGGCCTGTGTTGCAATGCTGGACATTGCCATGCCTAACTTTTAGGCACCTGGGGGGGAAAAAAAAAAAAATCACTGGAACAATGGGATTCACAAAGCCTAAATTAGGCCCCTAGCCTGCCTGTACAATGAGTGGGAATAAACAGGTGCCTACAGACAAGAGGGGTGTATCCTAAAACCCCCCCCCCCCCATGGAGTTAGGCACCTTCCTTCAGCCTAGATTTGGGCACCTACCTCTGCTTGCAATCCACAGCAGAGAACCCCACTCCTGGAGTCAGACAGCTTAGACACCTACTTGGAAGAAACACCAGTGCCCTTAAGACTTAGCCCAGTGGTTAGGATTCTCCCGACTACATCCTGAGTATTTGAACCGGGGTCTCCCCATTGAAGAGAAGTGCTCCGGCCACTGGGCTACAGGGGTATTCTGATGTGGGACTCCCTTGGTCTCTCCTATTGAGGTTGTTCCACTTTGGATAACTAGAGTCAATGGAGCAAAGGACCTAGACCCTGGGTCTTCTGCCTCCAGTTGGGTGCCCTAACCAGCCGGCCAAAGAATCAGTCACTCTCACGCTCTTGCTGGTCCATTGACTGCTTTAGCCACTATGCTGTAAGTTAGAAGTGAAGTAGCATGACCACCTCCTCCTGGAT